TTCTAATATAGGTTTGAATAATCCAATAAATCGTAGTGTGGAAAGTTATAACATGTTACCCCAATCAATAAAAAATATAAAAAATAATAATAAATTTAAGAAAAACTTAAAAAATAATTTCTTAAATGACTACGAAATATAAAAAATTCGCTACAGTCTCCATCACCAGCACAGGGTGCTGATTAGGAGTCTAAATTATTTTCGTTTATGTATTGTACCTTCTCGGACCAAAATATTATTAAAATATCTAGTTTATAAGTTTACTTATTTGGAAACAATTGTACAGGACAGTTAAAACGAAAATAAAGATCTTAAAAAAAAAAAAAGTTTACGAATTTGTGGGCCGTTAAATATGCCTGCCTTGAGCTTTTCTGAACTCAGATTTAGAAACTTCCTTGAAATATACTTGAAACATTCGCCGTCTTTGTTTAGTGCTTTAACATATTGTTTCATTAGTCCAAGTTTAATATGCAGAGGTGGCAATATAATACGATCTCGTGACACAAGAGGTACATTGATAACATTAAGGCTACCTGGAACTAGTGCTTCCCTAGAAGGCCATTCTTTTCTTGTCCAATGTTCTGATTTAGCTCTGCTATCCCATAAACATATAAAGCAGGGATATTTAGTATAGCCGCTTTGTTGGCCTAAAAGGAAATTAACCATCTTAAGATCAACGCAAATTATCCATTTATGTTCGTTATACTTTATCTTGTTCATGACTAATGCAATTGTAGGGTATTCTTCCTTAAGTTTCGTTGAATGTGCGATCGGTAAGGAGCCTTGTTTATTTCCATTATTCAATAGTACACACTTCAAACTGCGTTTTGAGGAGTCGATAAATAAACGCCATTCGTTTGAATCATATCTCTGTAAACCCATGGCAGTCATCAAACCAGAAATATCAGTGCAATACACAAAATCATCCTCTCCAGCGAAAAAAGGAAGTACGTTTTTTTCTCGAGTGCGGTAATACGAAACTTTAGTTTCTTTAGTTATAAGATGTCTCTCTTTCAACCGGGAACCTAGTATTTCGGAAGAAGTCTTCGACAGCCCAAGGTCTCTAATTACATCACTAAGCTCGTTTTGATTCAATCCCAGATAGCACCATTCGTCCAATGGACGTCCGTTTAAGATCCATTTTAAGTACATTGGTCCACGGACTAAAAATGGATGTACTATGTACAGGGTGGTCCACGTAAGGTGACTCACTTATCTCAGAAACTACTGGAGTCACAAAAAATTTACCTTTCATTTTATATATATATGTCCTATACCTAAACCTAACAGAAAAAAAAATATTCGCATTTTTCACAATTACTAGCTTTTTTCCAATTACCTTAGTTAAATTTTCATTATTCAAATAAATAAATTTCAATAACAACAAATAAAAATGCTTTTATATATAAATATATATTACTATAATAATTACCATACGCGCAAAGCTACTAATTTTGTAAAATGCGAATATTTTTTTAGGTGATCCACGTAAGGTGACCCATATACTTAATTTAGAAACTATTGGAGTCACAAAAAATTTGTAAGGAACAAATATTCACGAAGTAAAAAATATTTTTAAAATATTATATTTTTATTTATACAGGGTGTTCGGTTTTCCTTGGGACGATACCAACTTTCTTATTTTCAATGGAACACCCTTTATTTTTTTGTATTTTTGGATTCTTCCCACTCTTTTAGGTATACTTTGTAAATATATTAAATAAGAAAATGTTAATACTTTTTGAGTAAAATTAAGATTTATTAAAATTTCTCTAAATGTAGACACTCGCTAAAAGTTAAAAATAACCAACTAAAAGTTATTATTTTTTATATTATGTAGTATCCATCTCTTTAATAATAAGTAAGCTATAAGTTAATTATTATATTTTTTGGAAAATATCATACAGGGTGTTTTCTATGTCCCGTTGAAAATAGCGATTTTAAAAGTTTAAAATCTTGTTTTTATTCAATGGAACACCCTATATATTTTTGCATTATTGGATAGAATAAGTAATTACCTTTTATTTTATATATATATGTCCTATACCTAAACCTAACAGAAAAAAAAATATTCGCATTTTTCACAATTAGTAGCTTTTTTCCAATTACCTTAGTTAAATTTTCATTATTCAAAGAAAACACCCTGTATAATATTTTCCAAAAAATAAATTAATTAACTTATAGCTTACTTATTATTAAAGAGATGAATGCTACATAATATAAAAAATAATAACTTTTAGTTGGTTATTTTTAACTTTTAGCGAATGTCTACATTTAGAGAAATTTTAATAAATCCTCATTTTACTCAAAAAGTATTAACATTTTCTTAATTAATATATTTACAAAGTATACCTAAAAGAGTGTGTAGAATCCAAAAATGCAAAAAAATATAGGGTGTTCCATTGAAAATAAGAAAGTTGGTATCGTCCCAAGGAAAACCGAACACCCTGTATAAATGAAAATATAATATTTTAAAAATATTTTTTACTTCGTGAATATTTGTTTCTTACAAATTTTTTGTGACTCCAATAGTTTCTAAATTAAGTATATGGGTCACCTTACGTGGATCACCTAAAAAAATATTCGCATTTTACAAAATTAGTAGCTTTGCGCGTATGGTAATTATTATAGTAATATATATTTATATATAAAAGCATTTTTATTTGTTGTTATTGAAATTTATTTATTTGAATAATGAAAATTTAACTAAGGTAATTGGAAAAAAGCTAGTAATTGTGAAAAATGCGAATATTTTTTTTTCTGTTAGGTTTAGGTATAGGACATATATATATAAAATGAAAGGTAATTACTTATTCTATCCAATAATGCAAAAATATATAGGTTGTTCCATTGAATAAAAACAAGATTTTAAACTTTTAAAATCGCTATTTTCAACGGGACATAGAAAACACCCTGTATGATATTTTCCAAAAAATATAATAATTAACTTATAGCTTACTTATTATTAAAGAGATGGATACTACATAATATAAAAAATAATAACTTTTAGTTGATTATTTTTAACTTTTAGCGAGTGTCTACATTTAGAGAAATTTTAATAAATCTTAATTTTACTCAAAAAGTATTAACATTTTCTTAATTAATATATTTACAAAGTATACCTAAAAGAGTGGGTAGAATCCAAAAATGCAAAAAAATACAGGGTGTTCCATTGAAAATAAGAAAGTTGGTATCGTCCCAAGGAAAACCGAACACCCTGTATAAATGAAAATATAATATTTTAAAAATATTTTTTACTTTGTGAATATTTGTTTCTTACAAATTTTTTGTGACTCCAGTAGTTTCTGAGATAAGTATATGGGTCACCTTACGTGGACCACCCTGTACGTCCATATATTTACATCCTTTGTACGATTTTAATTGACGTCCATATAGTGTCCATTTTACGTCCATAATTATTATTTCAGAAATGCAAGTTAAAACGTATTGTTGGCTGCATAACAACAGTTATGATCAATCTCACTGACATTCAAGCAAGCGCGTGCTATAAAGGACTTAAGCTATCAATGAAATGTTAAACACTTGTAGTATTGCAAATGTAATGTTCCTGAGTCGAATACAAGGATTTCCTGCAATGTTCAACATTGAATGTTGTAACTTTTAACAACTTTTAGAATATTTATATTCCTAGTGGGATTGTTACTGAGCCAGACAAAAGGCATTTCAGTCATGATGGAGAAAATTTTCTGCAACATCGCAATGAAAAAAACAAAAAACAGTTAAAGTAAGCAAAAAAGCAGGTCCTGGATGCTGGAGGAATGGTTCAAACACCTTATAGACGTCCATCGGTTGACGACTTATGGATGTCCAAAGTTGTGACATCTGGACTCTAAACGGATGTCCATGGGACGTCCATAGAAGAAAAATGGACATCCTATGTTCATACAGACGTCCACGAGCATACGTCCATTGGATTTTCTGGAATGAAGTCGTCATTGGTCAAACAGCTTGGATCGTTCAATTCATCAGAACTTTCTTTAGATGTATGTAGATGATAGTGATAAAAGTGGACCTTTCGAACTTCTAATAGGCCCAACAGCTGATGTTGATGAGGGGTAAATCCATTTAGAGCGGTTCGTCTCGTTGATTTCTGTTATATTCACGCCAGATCATTGGAGATTGGAACTTAAAAGAGGGTCTCTTCTTAGTGGCCCATAACCGTAATTCTTCAACACAGATTTTGCATACAATACTGGGCACACAGTACTTGTTATGTGCTTCCAACGGAAAACCAAAACATTCCAAATACGCTTGTTTCACAAAGTGTGACACACTCAAACAAAATTTTTTAAAAACATATTCACCACAAATGTTACAAAAACAATTTGGATCGTTGGAAGTTGGAGTCTTCTTGATAAAGACATGATGGAAATTACAAATATTTATGTAAAACTCGTATGTAATAGATAGTTTATGTAAACATACTTAATATGAAGGCAATAGCTGTATCTAAAAAACTCGAGCTGCTACAAAAAAAATGACGGTCGATTTGAAATCAGTGACCTTGAATTAGAAAACAACCGCTTAAATACTTTATGCAACAGGAAAAAACTTTGATTTTGTTGTTATTATAATTATAATTATTAATCATACCTACCACGAGTTATATTTAGTGAGAAAATATAATGAATTTTAGGATTTAACGAATTGTCAGTTTGACATTTGAAATTAAAATGTGCTTTAAAATATAAAAAGATTTTAATAAACCTTATTTATTTAAACTTACCTTAAGTTTATTATAGTTTACACCAACCCATCGATCTTTTAGAGTTTATAATTCATTATTTTAATCATAACAAACATAGGATTTAAATGTCAACAAATGTCAAATCAAGAAAAGTGTCAAAATTCTTAGTAACGTGTAAACAAGGTGTGATAAAATGCGTAACTATGGAATACTAGCATTTCATTGGTTCTAATTATAATTAATTGTGTTGTCATTAAACTTTGTCATTCTTAAAAAAACACCATTTACTTACTTTGTAGTTGCTACTTTGCATCCAAGGAATTAATCCATCAATAAGTTGTCCAATGTCTTGACAAACAATAGGATTTGATGGTTCTGCTAAATATGATAAAATATCAACACCAACTTGTTGTCGAAATCTTGTATCAGCCTTTGATAAAAGAGGTATAAACCCATCTATATCTTTTGGACAATTATAAGCCATAATGGCGTTGGTACTGAAAAAAAACAAATAAAAGTTTTTTTTTTTAAATGTAGTCTTTTAACATATGCAATTATTAATTAATACATTTATTTATTAAGGATTAATTAAAACCATCCGGTTATATTTTTATGTCAATGCGAAGTTTTTTGCGTTTCATATTTAGGGCCTACTGAAAACTACCCGACAAACATTATACACAGTGTTTTAAAAGTAAGAAATAAATATTCGTTACATTTTAGAAATATTAATGATTTGCTCATCGCGCACGCGCGTAATTTTTCTCAAAGATAGCCTGAGCTACTTATATAACTTATATAGGTAATAATTTTTGGTATATTGTGTGTGCTGAACAAGCCCCCAGAGGCATGTGCTATTAAAGCTGAAAGTAGATTACTACTTGAAGAATATCTTTTAATAAAAATTCAATTAAAAAATTTCAACCTTTCTTACTGTAAGACTCTCTAAACATACTATGGCAAACATGCCTCTGGAGACACGGGCCGCACAAGCGTTAAGGAAGGTGACATGCCGCCGGAGGCATGTGCACAATAAAAATTTAAATCATCAAATTACCTTTCGCAGTCAAGGTGTTAAGGAATTTATGTTCCACATCAAAAAGTGATATTAGAATGGTCATATTCCGTAATAGAAGTTATTTTGTATCCCTACAACCCATGTCGACGTCGAAATGAACGTCGAAATTCTAAAAATTCCTGTATACAAGCATAATGACGTTAATTTACAATGATTTAGCTTTGCTGTGTATCCTAAACCATTTACAAAAAAAGTATATATACAAACGTGCTCTTTTAGTTCCACCCTTACTTCCTAAAAAGTCCCAAAAGCCAACTGAATGGCTTGTGCGGGTTAGGGGTAGAAACCGACCGCGGGCCTAAAGTCCACCACTAATCCACCGTCGGCGGATAGTTATATTGTAGGTTTTTTTTTAATTAAAAAATGTCATTTTATTTTTGACGGCACTGCATGTCGAGCTTTTTGAGGACGTCGACAGCCTCTAATAACGTTAATACGTTAATTCGCAATGATTTAGTTTTGCTCGATATTCTCTACACATAATTCAAATATAATCATACTCGGATATAAATTTTTAAAATTAAAAAACGACATTTAGGTTTCGTCCGAACAGGCAAAGATAATACCGCTTGCAGCTTTTTGACGACGTCGACATGGTCAATAGGTTTATCTCTCTGTTAAAACGAAAATAACAACTCAAAAATTAAAATCTTCACCCTGAGTAACCTCCAAAATATTAATGTAAAATTAAATATTAATGCTTTTAAATGCGACATTGTATTCTTTCGTTATGTAAATTTATGTAAAATAAAAATAAAAAAAGTTGTCGAGCCGCCAAGTACCGAACCCGGTACCTCTCGCATGCTACCGCCCTACCATCTGAGCTGTCCAGCTTAACATTAATTTTATAACGCTCGGAGAATAATACCGATTTAAGCTTAATTTGCATGTATTCGTTTGTCCGTTATCCGTTTGTTCGTTTTTTCAATAAAATCGTCCGATCAGAAATGTTCTAATTTTCATGCATCCGTTTTTAATGACGTTTAACAGAATGATTTGGAGACAAATAGAAATTAAGGGTCAGTTACAATTATGTCAACAATTGTAACAGTCTAATAAATTTAAAGGTAGGCAAATATACCATATAAAAAGAATATACATTAAAATGTATAGTTTTAAAAAAGCAGTTCTGATTTTTATATTTTTTTGTTTTTTTTTTCTTTTTTTCAGTTTTTCAGTTTTTCTTATTAAATAAAAACAGTAGAACATTATTCACATGACGAAGGTTATATTTCCGTTTTACAATCTTATTAAAAAAATATTAAAATATTTGAAAATAAATGATCTTAAAATAACGCTAGGCGTCAAAACAGATGTGTAGTGACGGATGAGTTAAAATTATTTTAACTTTCTCCGTCAGACGTACGAAGTTGAAACTTGCCGGACCGATAAAATGTCATAATTTTAGAATTATAATTGGACCAATAAGAGCGCTCCCGGATGATCGGACTAACGGACAAACGGATCCATGAAAAATAAGATTTACAGTAATTCTGAAATAATCTACTTTGAATTTTAATTGTTAATCATTGTCTATTGTTTGATGTCAACAAATAGCAATGAATTAACCAATTCATTGTTGTGATAATGATGTTGCCAAACGCATGTGTATTGTAAAAGTATAAATCCTTAAATCTATTTTTTTATAAGATGAAACATTTATTTCTAATTAAACCATTGTTTCAACATTCTGTACATTAGACCTAATCTATAGACTTGAAACAATATAATCAGGGTAAACCTTTTAAAACTTAATGTTTACGCTTACATACCTATATTTTTTAATAATATAGGTAGAATTATTTTAAATAATTTTCTAGGATTTCTGGGGGTCTGTTGATCAACCACCTTCAAGGTGATGCGCGACTTCTGGGACACCCTGTATATTGTATTATTTTCAGAAAATAGTCTGTGAACAATCTTAAGAGCCAGTCTGGCTCTCAAGTACATACCGGAAGGCCGCAGGGAGGCACTGGTATTCATACCAAAACCATATGAGACACCAAAATCCTTTCAACCAATCTGCCTAACATCATTTCTTCTGAAGACAGAAGAAAAACTGATAGAGCAGCACATACAGGAAACGGTGCTTCACAAAAGACCTCTACACCAAAACCAATTTGCCTACCAAACAGGCATTGCCTGCGAATCCGCCATTCATGAGATAACCCAAAGAGCTGAGCAATATTTAGATAATAAAGAGGTGGCACTTAGGACCTTCCTGGATATTTATTTATTTGATAACACCCTCTTAATAAATTGATCTGTAAGAGATCGCAACGTATGACTTCTGGTTTAAAAAATATCACAGACCTGTGAAAATCTGTCAGTGAAAATATTGATGTATATTTTGTAAATATACAATATTATTTACTGGACATTTTTTTAGTTAGTATTTTAATCGAAATTTGAAAAATACCTGCTTTCACCAGCTTTAATATTTTACCCGCAAGCATGACAAAAATACCCGATCACTTATGACATAAATAACTATTTAACGTAACGTCAAGCTCTAGGGGAAGGGGTTCGGACAATTTTTGATATAATGTGATAAGGGGAGGGGGGTTATAACTACGTGACGTAACGTTAGACTTATACAAATATTCATTTAAATTTTCGGATAAAATTTGATTTTATGAAGTCACCAGGGAGCGGGGGTAGTACGTTTTGTGACTTCTTATAGGTCAATTCTGCGCACTTCTGTAAGCCAAACTATAACTTTCTATAAGCTTATAGAGAATTGCAATTCTGCACTTCCTGTAGCTTACAGAAAATCTTATAAAATCGCAAATATTTACGATCGGGTGTTTGTCAATCGTTGCTAGTAACAGTTTGTTTTTGTGAGGTTGTGTGTGTATTTTAAAGTTAAAAACATGAATTGGTAAAGGCGTTTTAGAGTTCAGTCAGGTTCCAGCGCTTGAGAAGGCACGACGCGATAGTGAAAGCTCTTAAAACGTGAAAGTTTAAAGATTAAAACCAACAATAATTTTTTAAAAAAGTGCAAACTAATTATAGTGAAACAAACAATTTTCATAGAGTGCAAACTAAAATGGTGTAACGGTCATTGAGGAGTGAAGTGTTAAGTGATATGAATGAGTTAAGTGCCACCTGTCATTGGACGCTTTTCACTGGACAAGCAAGGGAGGTCAAACAAGAGGGGAGGTGGCCATCTGCAAAAAAATTGATAAGTTACCTTAAGAATATGCATGACCTAATACAAAATCTGCAATTTAAACACGGCAGATATCTTTGAAACGTAAGAAAGGCACACGGCGTAGGGCAATAAATCTGTCAACAACAAATGCGTAATGCAATCCCAAACGAAACCGATAATAAACACTAGACTCACAGAATAAACTAACACATTAATCATTATAACCCTAACATAATAAAAAAAGCCTAATAACCAAACTCTACTAGATTTGTAAACATTAGATAACAGAATAATTGCACTTGTCATTTGTTTAACTAATAAATAAATGCAATACTTATATTTGGAATTTAAGAAAAAAAGACAAAACTCTACCACAAAACGTGCTTGGGACAAAATTTACGCAAACTTGAACGGAAGATCATTACACTACTAACGACAGACTTACCTGTCTACCATCACCAACATCCCCGCGACCTGTTAATGGGCAAAACCATTACCAAACGAGTAAGAGTAGCCCAATTAAAATACTGGGCACACGTCACTCGTAGGCAACGCAACAACATACTACAAGCCACCCTTAAACTAGACCTTACAGACAGAAAAGTCGGGAGACCATGCTTCACATATCATGACACGTTAGCACAAAACATGCACTTCTCATAAATTAACAAGACCAGTTGGGAGCACCTAAGCAACAATATAAAAATAAAAAAATAAAAACTGACACACTTTACCAAGTGCAGGAACTATCTAACCAGGACACGGACAATGACAATAACGAACAAGACAAAGACTTTGACTAGGAAACTACACTCCTGCAGCGAAATAACAACTCCCCAACTCCAAATAGTAATCCCAAATGTTTGGAGTAATACTATTCGACTGGTCTAGGGGGATTCCGCGTCGTACTTAGTTTTAAGTCGGAGTAATTGTCTCCCAAAAACCAACACCCTTCCGTCTCTCCTCCTATACCCTACTGGGCGTATAGCATCGGCTCGGCGAACCCGAGAATGGCTATTAAAACTATTCGCATCTCGCTCTCGAGCCCCAAATAGGGGACAGTACGGAACGCAATGGATATTCGCACCCAGCAAACACGGGTGAAGCCGTGCAGTTGCTGGGGGCGAACAAAAAATCGGCGTAAGTAAACATAGGCCTATACGGGGTCCGAGAGTGATGATGAAATGGGGCTGGTTATACGTCTCTTATACTCATACTCATACTCATTGGTAAAGGCGTTTTAGAGTTAGAATTTTTTTACTTAT